TTCGACCACCCGCCTTGTATGGGGACTACATATATTACGCTAAGGACACATCGCCCTGCGTCTGCCTGCTCCATTCTTGCGTCAGGTGACAGCTGTTGGAGCAAGCGAATCAGGCGCACGAGAGCAAGCAGCTACAAGTGATTGTGGACCGAGTTGTCCGACACCGCCCAACTCCCGTGGCTCCATGAGTCCCAGCCCGTGACACTACAGTTGTACCGGCGCCCTAGAAGACGTTGATTTGTGACTTGTCGATCATATGCTGCGGGGGTACATTTTGCCATCTTGCATACTAGTGTCAAAATGAACAAGGTGCAGCAGATCCCGGACTGCTTTTCGACGTTTTTGGGTGTAGGTGGTTTCGAAAAGCATTAGATCCATGTAATTGTATGTGCTTTAATTTGGTTCTTGTGGAGTTGTCCGTCGGTCGGCGCGTATCGTCCATCGCCCGAGACCTGACTACGACGGTTTGATGAAACACGGACCCGTGGTCATTTTAGCGGGGAGAATTTTGTTCTTGAGGTTGCTCGGGGGAGAGCGTGTGCGAAGGAGTTTCTTACTAGGTATATAGGGGGCGCGATCGTTGACGTGTTGATTCTATTCCGCGACGTAGTGTAAGACATGACTGAAATGATCCAGTTATGGATCACTCGGTACGGAAAAGAACACGCAGAGGTAAATTTAAACCGACGGATCTATCGAAATCGAGAGCTACCGTTACAGCTACTCTCACAAGGCGATCAGCCGAGACGGCCTCAGCGTGTGTAGTATCCAGACACCTGATCGTAGATTGGGAATTTTTTTTTTTGCGTATGACGATAATCACTATGCTTGGTCCTGGCCCTTTGGTGAGTGAACGCCCTTCGCCGATGGTGCCACCGGAAAAATCATGTCGAAAAGGTGCGATATGACATCCTCTCGCTGCAGGAGAGATTCGATTACAGCTCTCCGATCACTGGCGGTGAATTGCTGCCGGTTCAAACAGAGAAGAGCGGCGGAGGGCTTCTTCTTAGGAACAGGGTACGATTGGTCAGAGTTCTGATTGTAGTGCCTGCCGCTGCGTGACTGGTGATCACGCGTCCTCGAAACATGTGGCTTGACGACAAGCGCGCAACGTTGTCAACCGGAGTTAATAACTAAACCTGTCTGTTTTTTCGCAAGCCTCACTTGGAGTGTGGTCGTGGGTGGTGCGGCCCCTGAGGGCGACAAGGGAGCAACCTCCGCTGCTGCAGATAGTTTTCTTTGCAATACTGTAGATCCATGCGGTCGCTGCGATAGCCCAGCGGACCGAGCGTGCAGCATACGAGCCTGCAGCTTCCTCTGCTCGATTTTTCGCCTCACATCCTGTGGTATGGGTTGAACTCGCGTAAGCTTGAAGGTGGCAGTACTTCCCTTCGCTCCGGAAGACCAGTGCTTACCGTCATGTTTGCTATCGTTCACTGTCCGCATGATACTTACGATTTGGCAGCGGTCGATGGGTGGTGCTGTCCGAAAATGTGCTGCACCACTTTCAAGGCGTACCAGCGACACCCAACGCCAGAGGCAGCGCGCAGTTTTGCTCACCTCTACACACTGCATGAAAAATTCTTCCATTTCGGAGCGTTCCACGGCATACCGAGCTTTTGTTGCTCGAACACGCATTGTTTCCCTCTGTTGTTTCACCAGGCTTTTCTCAAGAGTTCGCACTTTCTTCGCCAAGGCGTCCTCCTGGCTGAGTGCCTTATCACGTGCTTGACGATCTGGTGCGGTTTTCCTGCACCACACCAAGTGAAAAACCGCGGCTTAACGCGTGCCAGGTACCACTGTACGAAAGCTGCATAGCCAAACACAGACGGACTCCTTGCTTGGCACATGCTCTGCAGACTGCTTTCGAAATGTTTCCCAGACAGTCCAATGGCTCGGGTCGAAATGCTGTAGTCTATGGGTGCTGTTGATGCAAAAATGAAACACAGCCCGCCCTTGGAATTTTTTCATGTCCATGGCGCCAACGTAGCGCAGGTCATTGTGTCCACCCTCAAACTTGACTAGGTGCATGTTTCGTCAGGCGCAAGGCAAATACAATTTAATGCTATTTTTGTACACTGCGAGACGTCCTGGTCGGTCTTCCTTTAGATTTGTTTAATGGAAATGGAGGCACTCACAAGTGATGTCGTTCCGCCTGGGCGGACGCCAGAAACCCCGGTGAACTCATCGAATGGTGAGTGCGGCGGACCCTGTCAAGGCTCCCCATGACCCCAGACAACACCGGTTGGCTATGGCCGTTCTCTGCGATTGGTGTACAGCTGCCGCTCATTTCGCCGGACACCACCCGCCCGTGATCTTGCTCAGCCTCTACTCTCAGTTCCAGTTCTACGGGCAAACCACGGGTTGCAAAGTGTTGATAAGTATCGTCGTGACGCTGTCAATCGTACAGCTGTACTCCATAGTCGGAAATAGTAGCTCCCCTATTGCGATTTCCCGAAAAAGAGTACTTACGCAAGGATCCACAATGAAGGGCTGTGGTAATACTCGTAATAAGACAGAGTTTTATTTTATTACATTGTTCGTGATAAACTATCTACTTTTCTCTGTCTGTCGTGCCTCCACAGTGGCGAGGCTAGTCCTGGTCGCCAGAAACCGCGACAACGAACTGAAAGGAGAGAAACACCCTAAGGCGGACATCGACCGAAAGACACCTTTGAACGTCATAATTCGACCCTTGCTCACCCGCTCTGAGTACCTTGTCCTGCTTTTTGCAGGCCTTCAGTTGCTTTGCCAGCCAATTGCGGTCATCCTCTGAAATCAAGCAAGCAAGCGGTGGGAAATGGTATGTTGCGGTAGGATATCTGCGAACCGGGCGCTGCGCGTTTAGCATTCCGATGGTTTTCCTGATACATAGATTGCCCCCTGTTGCGGTACACGTACTTGAAGATCAACGCGCGAATCTACACCAAAACGCCAAGGTGATGTTTGTACTGCTACGAACACAATCTTACGCAATTGACAAAACTGCGAAGAACACAATGAATGCTGCGATCCACGTTTACGAGAGCACTCAATGTCTTGAGGAAGCTCAACACACATACATCACCCACCGGACAACGCGACGATCACTCTCGTCAGCTACCGTTTGCTCTACGGACAAAAAAAAGCGATTGGCATCACCCACCAAGTATTTCTAGCTTCCCCTTCATATATTTTAGATCCTTCTTCATCGCCGTGTTGAAGCTGTCAAGCCGTAGGGCTTCCTTGCGGTACCAGTCGCATTCGTCCTCGAGTTTTTGCACCTTGTCGTTTTTCTGTTAATACGACATGGAAGGGTGCGGGACGAAACGATCGGGTACCGAACGTATTTTGTGGTGGATCTCGAGGAAGAGATTTCGTCCATATGATGAACCTTAACCTTTTCCAGCGATAAGTCACTTGAGTGTGAAATCCTCATACCACGAGCGGAGCACACGCCTAGTCCATTGAGGTTGTGTTTGACCCTACAGCAGGTTCACGTCTCCGACAGATCGGCGTACTTGTTATGCGCATGTTTTCTCTATCCTTTAGTAGCGTCGCTCAAGTGCCTATCGTGGTCTTGCCCCTGTAGTATCTGAAGAGCCCCGATCCAGGGTCAATAAAGACAAACACGTCTGTGATACATCACAAACAAACGTAGAACACTGACAGCAAACTCGACTGTTACCTCTAGACACCTGGTTTCCATTACCAGCTCATGCGAAACAACTTACCAGGTACTACAGTACGTGTTTGAGAGAAAGCACGCACAGAATGAACTTCCTCAAGAGGGTTTGTCAGGATTCGGGGTTCTCGAAAAGCAAACAGCCACTCCTTGTTGAAGAGTGCATATTTTCAAAGGAGGACTACAGAACTTGCCTGTACAGTACTAAAAAAGATGTGTTGACTTCCCTACAAATGTATCGCCGATGTTTCACGCCGAATGCCGTGTATGTAGTCTAGACGCAAGTCATGTCCAAGTTCGCAACTATTCTCCCTTTGAAAATGTCTCTGCCACAAGAGCTGTGTAGGCTAATAAAAAGCGGTGTAATGAATCATTTCCCAGTCAGTCCAGTGTGAAGAACCGCATATGGCTACATGTACTAGGTGGTGTACTTGAATACATCGCACAGCGGAGCGCGGGATACGGGGCGTACATTTAATCACCGGTGGTTCTTACCGGCAGGTCACTGCTGACTGTGTTCACTACATTACTATTACCCAGCATAGAATCTGCGATGAGAGTTCAGGGCTTGGTTCTGAATCGCCCACCTGGAGGACATTCTCTGCTTCGATCACGCGTTGACGAAGAGTCTGTAGCTCTTTCTGCACGGTGTACATGTGAGCTCTATACGCCGCGAGAAAGTCGCCCTCTTGCTTCGCCAACACTTGTGAGATTTTCTTGTTCAGCGACACCACAACCCCTTGCAGACGGGAGTGTTCCTCGCGGACCCTGGTCATGGCTTCCGGCTCAGGGAGATCCCTGACCAGCGGTTCAGTCAAGAAAGTGTCCCCCATTGCTGAAGATATATCTTCCTAGCTGTTGCTGCCGTAGTGAATACCCACAATTAATGAAGTATCTACAATGACTTTTACACAACAATCGGCGACGGAAAGCTTGAGCGTGGCTTGTAAACCCACGTCCGACCCGTGGGTGCCGTATATAACAGGAAAATAGCCCGCCTCCAGAAAATCATCAAAAATAATCAGTCCTCTGCGACCGTTTCATGTCTCTCTTTCGATCGCGCCACCTGCGGCCGAACCATGGAAACATGATCCAGGCGCAATTGTACCTCGTGTTCAGCAGCGTGCGGCGCGACCTGTGTGGATATCCGAATCGAAGTGAACCCCGGGTTTGGTTCTCTCGGAACAATGGACCAATCACTTACTTGGACCAATGTAGCCAATGAGCAACGTTTTCATTCGTTCTTAGATACACGAGGGGAAGAGTAGCCAGGAGGGGGAGGCCGAGAGAGAGAGAGAGAGAGAGAGAGAGAGAGAGAGAGAGAGAGAGACAGAGACAGAGAGAGACAGAGAGAGAGCGAGCGAAGGTGGGTCTTGGTTGACACCATCCGTGTTGGTGGGTTTGTATTTATCCTCGACCCTCCGTTGGTTACGGGCAGCAGGCCTTGAGGCAAGGGGGTTCGGTTCACCGCGAGTACAGCAGTAGTAGTATAAGGGGAAAATTGAAAGCAGGCAACCTCGCACGTGTTGTAGATTCGATCTTCTGCACGCCTTCTATACAAGAATGTAAACGATATGCCGTGAGCAGTATGTAGTGGACGACAGAATCCAGTAGACTGCTGCATTTGTTTCGATTTTCCATCTGCCACTGCTCAAGCAGCCGTCTACGTCACCGAAAACGCCCCCAAGACACCTTCTTCTGCCCGCCATTGTCGTTGTCAAGACGTTCTTGTTGTTGGCGGCAGTATCCAGCCACGTGCCCTACCCCTCCGAGCCTCCACCTAGGCGCGCGCTTGGCGAAGGCTGTCTGGACTTGAAATGTCGGTGAGACCGCGGTGTGCCTTTGCGTGCAAGCAGACGTTGAGCGAGCGACGAGAGAGCGACGAGAGAGAGAGAGAGAGAGAGAGAGAGAGAGAGAGAGAGAGAGAGAGAGAGAGAGAGACGCATAAGAGAGAGAGGTACACCAGAGTGTGCAGAAGCCAGGGTTCCCTCGGTGGCAACAGCAGTAGGACTGGGTACGCAGGGAAATCGTTCCCTAAAAACAGCCGTGCACTTCTTGTGTGTTATCGCAGGACGTTGGCGGGGCGAGTGGCAAACCCACGGGTACAACTTCGCGAGAAGTGCGGAGAGTGACGAACCCCTACCTAGACAGCAGGAGCAGCAATGGTTCGTCCTCAACTGCTGGGGGCATTCGCCAGATGCACAATCGCAACCCGTCGGTTCCTTCAGAGTTCGGGAGCAATGCCGAGGCGGCGGAACGACGACGCGGGCAAGCACCACCACCAGCGCCCGGCCCCTCAAACAAAATACAGGTGCGACGTCAACTCAGAGACACGTTTCGACAACTCCAAAGGTCATATTCAGTGGTGCATGTGCTAAACACGTTTTGACCGGTACATGCCTTATTCGCCTCGCAAGCATGAATTCCCTGAACCACTAGAAAGCTGATCCCTCATATTTTGTTAATAGAGACATGTGCGAGTGTTTGAGTCAGGGTAGGAGATAAACCGCCGGAACAAGGTGGTAGAGGAGATTATTCTCGGAGAAGGTATAGTATACCATCTGCTGCGGAAGACAACCGCAGCAGGAGCGGCGTTCATGGCGTAGATGGGTGAGACACCCCCCCATTCTAGATGTGTACATCTGCTTAGTACTGGTGGCTGATTCGCGGAGGCTGAACCTTACACTCGCCCACGGATGGATTGGCAGGTCCACAAACGCCAGGAGAAAAATTCCATGCTCAGGCACCTGCGGAACGTCGCTTTTGAAATCACGCCAGGGCTTGTTGCGGACTTCGTACTCGGGCCAAAGACGTGCGCTGTATTCATTAGCCTGAGATACCACCTTCTCTACCCTCACTACCTCATCCAAAGAATCAAGGTGAGATTGCGCCTGATGCAAGACGACTGCAGCGGTGATGGCCTAGTCTAGTCTACGACAACCCCCGGAGGTATGCATAGGTCCGGCTTCGTCTGAATCCCGATCCCTTTTTCTCACCCTCGCCGCTAGAAAAGGAAGGAGGGAGGGAGGGAGAGAACGAAAAAATGAGAGATACAAAGACGCTTCGATAACGGCCAGCTGCTTTGTTGCAGACGACAAGTATGCACAGGCATCTGTGTGGCTATGCCTTTGCCGCACCTGCTCTCGGAAGCCCTCTACTTTCTTCCGCACATTAGGCATGACCGCAGTCTAAAGCACGATAGAATAAATATGTCATGCTGCACACTTTGTTCCCCCCCTCGCCCGGGATCCCGCTTGGCAACGACGTTGTAAAACAAGCCGATCATTTCGTGACTCGACAACCAGGTAGCCGTTTTTTTTTTACCTCTGGTTCTTTTTTGCGGTTAACATGAATGGTGGTCGAGCACATCATGTTGTGCGGGGCCGAGAACCCTCACTCCGCGCACGGGGGATGATCGCACCACGTTGTGTTAAAAAAGTCAAGCATCCTCGAGGCAGTTACACAGTGCTTATGACTGCCTCTGGAAGTGATAGCACCAGAAAATAAATGAAGTCATTCGCAGCTGGTATCCGTGCTCAAGGAAGTAAGCACAAGATGCCGAACACCCTTAGCAGGACGTAGCGCACCTTTCATGCGACTCGCCGAATACCTCATGGCGCTTCGCGCTTGGTGATGTGAGAGCCTGGTCCTGTGCGAACCCGGCATGCTCCGTCCCGGCTTTGTAAGGATGCGAGGTCAACGGTCTGACGACTACGGTATGCACGACTATGAGTACCCCCCCGCCCGGGATCGGCGGCAGGCCTAAAGAGAGACGCGGTGGCTTCAAAGTCTGTTCGTGACTAAAGGTTCATCCTTGTACATGGAGTGCGCACTTGCACCAGCAAAGGTTATTTCCACTCCATTCGAAACTCGACGTGGAGAGGAATGTCGAGAGCGTCGCCGGTCGAAGAGTTTGGCTTGGTTCTAGAGAAAGAACCAGAGAACAACTCTGCTCTGGAATCAAATGTCGATGGGAATCAAGAACATATCTTCAGTGTCGCAATAAAACTGAAACCGTCGAGGGTCTGCAGCACTTCTGTGGATAGGAACGTTTCGAAACTGCTGGTGTGCGTATGTTGCATCCCATGCACGTGTCTCACCCGCACATTTTCATGCAGGAGCTATCGGGGCACTTCACCCTTCGTGTCCTGCTTTGCCATGTCGACGTGGACGACAGCGAGACCCCTTTGCTCGAGATCAACAAAATGGCGGTTTTTAACGACTTCACACTCGTCCTGGCGTGGAGCCTCCAGGTGAAGCAACACTGGAATATGTGCCATGGTAGCTCAAGCCTCGTGGCACACACTTGGAACACACGTGCATAGGCATGCCGAGCACCTTGCGAGGTACTTCAAGCCGCTGTCTTGTGTGCTCTTAAGCTATTACGCTCTTACTTTTGCAACATACGACATTCATCGACCAGGAAGCAGCCAGATATCTGGAGACCTACAAGGCCTACGAGCACAAGTCGGCAGACAGCATTCAAGAGAAGGTGGGTGGCAGCGCTCGCACACACACCATCCCATATTTTCACGCCTCGTATACCGGCCACCGTGATATGGACCAATGCAAGAGCTGCAAGTGTTTTTATGCTCAGTAACAAGGAAGTCATTCTTGGCCGTCCCCGTAGAGTAGAACAAACTCCAAATGTGATTAGCCCTTCGACTCATGCCGCTTTTATCTCGGCCTGATACTCTATTTTACTACAACACTCGGTGCAATCAGGTTGACGACGACTTCCTTGGGAAACTGCAGGATTGCTTTGGAGTGGTCAGGTCCGTCAACAAGTCCGACGTGCTCACTCTTGCATCCAACTTCGGTTCGCTTAAGGCCGTGTGCGATGCGACTGCCGGCGAACTGTCCTTGTGCCCAGGCCTCGGGGAGAAGAAAGTTTCTAGAATACACGAGGCCCTGCACGAGCCATTGGTGCGAAAGCACAGCAGTTCCAGACTCGAGCGGAATAGGACAGAGGATTGAAAGAGACAAATTCAAACGTAAATCTTGTGTGCTTGTAGGACATGTATTTTTGTCCCGACGCTCGTTCTGAAACGCGAAGGGTAATTATCTGTGCTCGAATCCCGCGAACCGTTGCGGCTGTGATCGTTGGGGTGTCGTGAGTTGGAGGCTGATCGCAATCCGAGGCAGCCACGCTACCGCTGATGGGGAAGATGCTGCTCCAGTGGCAGCTACGGTGTTGGTGGATTCGGCTTCTGCTAGGCAATTGGCTGCCATTGTTGTGGGTTTGGGTCTATTCCCGCACCGAGCGGATGCTGGTTCCTTGGCTCCCTTTGTCGCGGGGTTGTGAGCGTCCTTGGCGGCGTTGCGAACTGTGCGATGGCGGTGATCGGCACCACGTTTCTTCCTGAGGGGGTTAGCACCTGTGAGGCCGTTCAGTCCTTCTCACTGCCCGACAAAGACCATTGCCAACGTCTGGTTAACCCCACGTGGTTCTCGTGAAGATTCATTGGAGAGATACCCCCCTCCCACGGTCGGAAGCGGAACCGCCTCGTCCCTGGCGAGCAAGGTGAAGCTCTCAGGACTTCTGCGATGCTTGGGCCTTTGCCGGGACGACCTAGTTGGCGCCTCAGTAGGACGACATTGGTGTCTTGCCCCGCATATATGTGGATTTGCTGTTGGACAAGATGATACACATGAAGTGTCGAGAGATGAAGCCGATGAGCCCCTTGCTGCCACCCTTCCGGTGCTCAAATTAGAGCAAGGCCCAACACTATTCGAGGCAAGTGAGATCGGCTCCTGTTCCTGTACGATGGCCGGGTTCGCCCCATATCGCAATCACATTACACGTCTGTTGATTAGGTAGGTTGCAGTCCTTCTCCTTCCACGTTCTGAAGATGGTATTGTGCGCCGCGCACGTAATTATCTAATCCATCCATTCTACAAGCTCGGTTACGATCGAAGAGGCTGGCACCGTTGAGATAATAATATGGGTCGGTATTGGGCATTGACCCCAATCGGAAGCTTGAAGGGCAATTTCCAGCTTGTCGGTGACGTCGCTTATTTGCATGGCGGTACAGAGCTTCCACGCAATGACATAACCGCTGTCGTTGTAGAGTTCTTGCGCTAAGATATAGCAGTAGCACGAGCACATGTCAATAATCTCTACTGTAGGTGTGTGAAGTTTGTCGGCCAAGTCTCGCGTGGGGTTGTTACTTTGTACTTGAACCAATGGTCAGCCTTGATAATGGAGGCAGGGTTGGATATCACGTCGTGAGTTTGAGCAGCCTGTAAAGGCTAGGTCGGATCTGATACGAAATGGCCTCGTGCATCAGGGCACCAATGTCAGTTCTCGCGGTGAGAGATCTGGGTGCTCCCGTGCCAGATCAAGGATATGTTCCCTGACGTTACCGGGAATGCGGCTCCACACCCGCGCAGGCATTGTTGGCGCTTTATCTTCTAGCGCTGCCTTGAACGTATTCGTCACATCATCGACGATATGCGTAGAAGGCCCGATCGATGCAGCACTTGTTTGGCTTAACGGGCAACAGAAAGGCGCCAAGTGCAAGCACAGCGTTTGTATAAACTCGGTGGAGAAAGGTGTTTCTCGTCCCTCCGGAGTTGCCCGAAGGTACGTGTTTCGTGGAATAGCGTTGTTAACGTCCCAACAGAGTTCTTGTACAGACCAAAAGAAAAACAGAACAAACACTGCCCACGTCTCATCTCCACCAAACAAAGCAATGCCGCAAAAGCACACCGCAAGTCTTCAAGCCTCACACACTATCAGGCCGACCGCTGCTTTCACCGTTTATTGCCTCCAGCACCCCAAGGTCTTTCTAACTTGTCACATCAATGTACATGCCCGACCTCCTATGCAAAGGAACGAAACGACAGACGGACAGACATGCAAATACAAGACTTGCATATTAAAGCAACCGTTCTTTGAAAACAAGTAAAGCAAGAAAACTTAAGGACAATCCATAGGCCATATTCATACAGAGCTCCTCAGCCGCCTCTAAACTGCAACGTCTTGTAAAAACTCAGCAAGTTGCAGGGCGCATTTTGCTCACAAAAGAGACGTCCATGCTTTTTAAGAATAGCGGAGTAAACAACGGCCAAAAGTTCGTAGCCTTGTTTAAAGGAATGCCCGCCCGACGGTGGCTTGCCTCCTAGATGTAGTAGATGTAGATTCTGCCGTAGACACTCTTGTCCACGAGCACGTTGAGATGGGAAGGTTGCTTGTTATTGCAGAAGCGGGTCTGCTACAGGTCTGAGGCTGGAGGTGAGGCGGATTGCCCTCAACCTGGGGGCACGCAGATAGCTAAGTCCCGATGGGGTACGTCCTAAGAGGGTATACCTCCTGACGTCCCCCATCTTAATCTAGACCGACTGTGTACCCTATCTGTGCCATACAGCAACACTCCTTAACACTAGCCCACCCTGAAGATCATCTATACAGATTCTATACTCAAATCCTAAGGCTACTAATAGCTGGTGATTTAGGATCATGAATCGAAAGATATGACTCTTGACAAGTGTATCCAAAGGAAAGAGGAGCTGTAAGAATATCCCGACTCGACCCCCCACACCACCATTGAGACAAAAGGTGATTCCGATGACGCGGAAACACAACTAGTGGCAACTCAATGATAAGGTTATACCCATGGAGGGATATAGCTAGGCAAGATGTGCTGCAAAGCACCATGTTTTGACACAAAAAACAAAATAAATCAATATCAACGCCACACACCACTCACTCTATTTCGNGGAATATCCCGACTCGACCCCCCACACCACCATCGAGACAAAAGGTGATTCCGATGACGCGGAAACACAGCTAGTGGCGACTCAATGATAAGGTTATACCCATGGAGGGATATAGCTAGGCAAGATGTGCTGCAAAGCACCATGTTTTGACACAAAAAACAAAATAAATCAATATCAACGCCACACACCACTCACTCTATTTCGCGCGCAAGCGCGTATTACGACTGGAGGAATGAGGGCGGCGACACAAGAGAGTCCAGAATTACTCCCGCAAAATTCAGTGGGACAGGACGACGGGCACACTACGGCTGAATGCGCTGACCGCAAAAGGTTAGACTGAAAGAACGTTCATGGCCAAAACGGAAGAGAGGCGTTAATTGCCACCCCAACCAAACTGCACAAAGAAACGTGGAGTCCAAACCATGTAAAACCAATGGCTGGACGAGGCACGAATGATCAAAGTCGAAAATTAATGCGACTAGCCACCCTATATCCCGCACAGACGGGCGACGATGAAACACAAACACACAACACATAAACAGAAAACACATAAACATGCATACAACACTAGAACTCGGGATCTCGACTATGATGATGTAGTCGACGCCAGGAAGTGACGATGGCGGAAAGAAGTCCAGTGAAGTGGGCGATGGCGAACGTCGATGAAGGCCGCAGGGGAAGGGGACGCAACGGAATAGAGGTCCGGAGCATGGGGCGTAGTCAACCCATCTCGTGATGACCAGGCTACAGAAACAAAGGTGGCAGTTGGAAACGACGGAACTTGGGGAACTCTTTTTCCAGGTATCCAGAGGCAAACGTCACCGACGAAACGTGGGGAACTCGTTTTCCAAGTGTTCAAAGGCAAACAACACCACCAATGCTTCGACTACTTCTAATCGTCGACGATGCCGATTGTTGAAAGCAGCGAAAAGACAACTGACGAACGCACAAAAAATATAAAAAATAAAAAATAACGTATTCAGGTCGCGGCAATCGATAGACGAAGTGCAAGTAACAAGGAAGAAGCACAGAGAAGGACACGTCCAGGTCGCGGCGATCCACGGGCAGCCGCAGGCAGACAAAGAATAACGACATCAATCACAATCTAGAACGGGGAACTCAACCAAAACATACTCGAAAGGGAGAACACTCGCCCTATTCCGCCAGCAACGGCGGTGGACTACGAAACGATCAAACAGAACACTGGGAACCGAGGACCGGGTTTGCGCTTTTGGCAGGTCTTTTATTTTCTTTTCATGTCTTTTCTTTTCTTTTCTTTTCTTTTCTTTTCTTTTCGGTCCCAGTTTGTCAAACAGAAGTGAGCAGAACTAGGAAGACAAAACAAACGCAAAAAAAAAAAAAAACGGAGCAAGAGAAAACAAGACGCAAGATCTGAGAAAATCAAATCGCCAATGAAAAGTAAGGCATAAAACAAAACAAAACACACAAAAAAAAAAAAAAATGGGAAGTGTCCCCGCAAGGCGCCGAAATACCAAACACTAAGAAGAAACCGTGGGGACGGCTGACGGTAAGGAGTCAGCGGGAAGACGGATGCGGACACTGATGTCGCCCAGAGGGCGGGAACGATCTTTCTCCAGACACCAGGATCCACAGACGGCGTTTAAGGCGGTGGAATCGAGATCCTCAGGCAGGGGAAGAACGCTGGGGCCAGGATCATCGAGGAACCGAACAATGTAGGAGTCGCCCTGATGAGCCCCGATACGTCC